TGTCCCTCCATATATAATTTTTTTCAATTAAGTCACTGTTTTCATTGAATAAATTTTTTTTATTATTATTTCGGGTCGGGTCGGGTCGGGTTTCTAAGTCATATATTCGGGTCGGGTCGGGTCGGGTGAAACCTTAATTTCGTCGGGTCGGGTCGGGTCACGGGTGAAAAACCCTTCTTTCTCGGGTCGGGTCGGGTGGCCCAAAAACCCGACCCGACCCATTGCCATCCCTACTTAATTCCATTAGTTAATGATGGAAAAAGATTAGTGATGTCCATTTAGCAACTTCGTTCCATAAGTTAATGATGTAAACCTACCCAACCCAACCCAACCCAACTCAATTGATATAATCATCGGACTTTTTTATATATTAACAATTTAATTTAAATCGAGTATTGTAAAAAATTACGATATAATCATTTTTTGAGTTTAACTTACTCAATTTACAATGTTAAAATTCGAACATCATTTCATCTCGTTAGACCAATATATTAATTCATGTTGAATTTTTAAGTCCTCACCTTTAGATGTCCTATAAATGTAGTTCATAGATATTTATTTATCCGAATTTGATTATAATTTTAAGTGTAAATTACAAGGTTGACTATTCAACCTATTGCCCTCTTTTATTTTGACTATCGATGTTTCGAAGTCGTCAATCAGACCATTCAAATGTTTAAATGCTTCAATTAAACCATCTGTCGTTAAAATTTAATGGAGAATGTAACATGGCAGTTGAAAATATTGATATAATTACACATTTAATCCCTATTATTTATACCAAATTTATTTTAATATATTAAAATTATGATCAAATTGCTAAAATATTTAAGTAACAGGGAGAAATAGTGTAATTATACCAAAATTATAAATTGGCGCATTGCTTTTTCTATTAAATTTTAACGGTAAGTAGCTTGGTTGAAGTATTTAAATAGTTGGGTGGCCTAATGAAGAAATCAAAGTGAAATGGAACAATAGTTGAATGGTCACTCGCGTAGTTTATCGAAATAGTGTAATTATACCAAAATTATAAATTGGCGCATTGCTTTTTCTATTAAATTTTAACGTAAGTAGCTTGGTTGAAGTATTTAAATAGTTGGTGGCCTAATGAAGAATCAAAGTGAAATGGAACAATAGTTGAATGGTCACTCGCGTATTTTATCCTAATTTTAGTTTGAAATATTGTCTAATCATTTTATCTTTGGGTAATTATATGGGTCATCACTTTTGGTTTGGTCTATTTTATTTTGTCATTGATTTATAAAAGATAACATTTGATCATTTACGTTATCAATTTAGTCTTATATTTTCACTGGCATTATCGACCTGTCTTGTTTTGTTAATTGAGTCGTTAATTCCATTAATTTTATGACGTGACTATTGATAAGAATATTTAAATTTTAATTTAATCTAATCTAACCTTAAATTTTAGATAAATTATTAATTTAACTCAAAATTTTTAAATAAAATATTAATTTGACTCTCGAATCCAACCAAAATTCTCTTCGTCAGCTATCACCATCGATTGATGGACCCTATAATTTTTAATTCATTCATTTTTTATCTCCGAAATACAATATCTATTTAATAAAATAAATTTAAATTTTATAAAAGTTAGGGTGTACTTGAACTTCAAACCTAAATTTATAGAATCTTAGGAGGTGAAAATAAATTTTTAATAAAAAATATAAATAAAATCTAAAATATATGATAATTTTAAATTTTTAGATTAGACGATGTCTCATCTGCCCTAATTCCTCCATTGTTGTCATATCTACTGACATTTGTCATTTATAATTCTTGCATTAACTTTTAGAAATACTCTAAATATTCGTTGCTTAATCATCATGGTGCGCATCAAACTCCATTATCAAATGATATACCAGAATCGAATTAAGTGACATCGATGTTAAAATAATTATTGTTAACCCTTAAATTCTTATATTCGAACACTAAAAATGTCAATAATGTTAGCATTAAATGTTAAATGGTGAAAAATTATCTATGAACATATATTACATTTTACTTGCATAAGTTTAATAAAAAATGACACATTAAGTTAACATTAAATTATTATGTGGCTCGAATATCATTAATTTAATATTTTTAATATAAAAAATAAAAAGAAATGATTACCCAAACGGAAAACATTCCCAAAAATAGGCAAATAACAAGGGCTGTGATGGGCTAGAGGATCTAACACTTGGGATCTTCTTCATTTCATCGTGGGAAAACTGGCAATTCAAGCTCACGTGCATGGATCTAACATCAACATCATATCCTATACTGCAAAAATATATTACAAATAATACCCTTAACAAATGCATTATTAAATTAAAAAATTTCAAATCTAACATGTTCTGGGTAAACGTTAAGATCCAGTGAATTTCTTTTTCTGTTTTATTTCGGCCGAAAGCCAAGTAGGGTTTAATGGTGGGATTGAATGATGATTGCTTACTCATCCCATGATTAACGGCGTGACGTCTGTTAATGCAAATTTGATTAGGGGAATTAGCCCTAACCCACCGCATGCATGCCCGTAAACTGCGATGATGTTATTTTTTGGTAAATTAAAATTTCATCACTGAACTTTACTCTTTCTTATTTTTGTCACCCCACAGTTAAATAGTTACGGCATTAGAATGATGTTATTTCAAAAAAAAATCACTAAAACGATATCGTTTTACATCTATATAACAGTCCATTTTACCAAAAAAATCACTGTATTAGTTCAGTGATGAAATGAAAATATTTAAAGTATAGTGAATAATATGAGAGAGTGTAAAATTTAGTTACCAATTTTATAATTTCCCGTTATTTTTTATCTTCTTGTTCGTTTTGGCAATGGAAAATTTTGAATTGGTAAGAGATTTATTGTTGTTGTCAGCAAAAGTGCAACGGCTATAGTATGTGGCGACGTGGAAGGGGCAATATGTCACGTCAGCTCAGAGAAACCCTTCAACTGTGTGGAGTACTAGGATGTCCATGAGTATATTATTGGTGGAAATATTTCTTTAAGTTCCTTTTGGTTTTAAATTTTGATAATTAGTCCTTATTAATCTAAAAGGGAGATTCGATAAGACTACAAATTACAAATTCAATCACCGATGTTTACATATTTGTTAATTTGATCATGATATCAAAACCTTCAACACAGTTGGAAATTTAAAAAAAATTATTAACCTTGTGATTATTTCCCAGTTGTTCATTTTCAAATCAACTAATAATAATCAAAATTATTTAAAATAAAATATGATCAAATTGATTTAATGTATACTTGATGATAATATATGGTTCACCCCTTCTCGGGCCAACCCTTCATAAATGGTTTCTAAAGGACCATCTACACCAACCATATTACACAAGTCAACTATTCAATACTACAACATCATTTGTTTGATTCTACTCCTGACATGACTCTTCAAAAGTTCACGTGACTTATCAGAGTTAAATATATTATTAGACAATCATATTCATTCAATCTATAACCACATATAACTATCACGATTTAGTTATGACAGGTTATCATTATAAAGTAAAGAAGGGGTCTTTTTGACTTATTATTCCTTTGGATCATTTTCTTTAGATATTATTACCATACTCTTTTTTTAATAAATTAGTATTTTATTTATTGATCGCGCTAATATATATTAAGTTTTGCAGATATCTATTATGACAGCGATCCTCCTAGCCCAGTTTACTAACCCTTTTCACTACTAGGCTTAAGCTAAACATTCACAATTACATGATTTTATTACTAAATATCAGCTTAGCACTTTATTAAAGCGGGGGCGAGTTCCTAAAGCAAAAGTTCCGTGTTGAAAATGCGTTCTATCAATAATTTATATAGATAAACTACATATTTATTAACTAAACTATTAGTTTTGGTCTGCTTTAGTACTTAAACATTTAATTTTTTCGAAGCCATACTTAATTTTTAATTTTTAATTTTTATTTCGTTTTAGCACCCAATTGTTAAAACTTAACGTGATTAATATCTAAACTATCAATTTGATCCATTTTAATATCTAACCTTTCATTTTTTTAAACTTAAGTTAATTTTTAACACGAGTACTAAAATGAAGCAAAACTAAACTTTAGATATAATTTTGAGAAAATTGAAAGTTTATGCCTATATTTATATTTTTACTTAAAATAATTGATAAAATTAAATAAATCTGAAAAGGTGATTTAATTGTTCTTCACTGGTTCTCACTGTGATTTTCTTTTGAATTATAAGTATAAGAATCAATCACTATTACATAGATTGGAATGAAACTATCCAATATAATAAAATTTAAATCAAAATAAAAATTCGAGACATTTCGTGCTTGATTTATATAAATATGAGTCAAAAAATAAGCCCAACTTAATCATTTGACCGACGTTTTTGGTCGTTTGATTGTTATTGTGATGATGTGGTAGTTCATGATATTGACGTGGTTGTACATAATGTTGACGTGGTAGTTCATGGTTGATAACATTACAGATAACATGACAAATAAGCTAAATTGATAACTCAAACATGACAGATAGACTCTACGTCATTATCGTGGATAACCACATCAGTACTGTAAACTACCAACATCACCATCGTATTGATCAAACGATAAAAAAATTGATCAATGACCACATTAAGTTTATTTTTTAAATTAGAGGGTCACGTTAAAAAATACGAGATTTATATTTTTTTTTTCCAAAAGTATATATACATTTAATGTCTTTTTGCCTATGATTTTTTATTTACATTAAATTATATGAAAATAAATAAATAAACAAGCATTTGTTTTTACTTTTTAGGATATGCTTGCAAAAAGGGTTCATGCCTAGTTGCTACTGACCTGTCCGAATTCTGAATTCTGAATTCGTCGGACTCTACTCTGAATTTAAGCCTTCTTTCGTTTTCTTCCTTTCTTACTCATCTCTTTCTCTTTATAAACCCATACCCTCAAAGACCTAAAATTTTACATCCAAATTCCAGTAAGGAAAAAACCAAAAACATGGGGATGAAGTTAACTTATCTGGGTTGTTCTTTGTTTTTGGTTTTGGCTCTGGTTTCTGTTCTTGCTTCTGGGTCTGAACAGGGACTCCCGATTCTTACATTCGATGAAGGGTATAATCAGTTGTTTGGAGATGATAATCTAGTTTTACATAGAGATGGTAAAGCTGTTCGCTGACTTTGGATGAGAGAACGGTTTGTTTTTCTTTTCGGCTGTTTTGTTTTCTGGTTTTCCTTTCCCATCTTTATTGTTTTATTAAAAGTAAAAAAAATTCCTTTGACGGTGGTGAGAAAAAAAAACAGGGTCTGGATTTGTTTCTCAAGACCTTTACTTGCATGGTTACCTCAGTGCTTCGATCAAGTTGCCTGCCGATTATACTGCTGGAGTTGTGGTTGCATTCTATGTGAGTTCATCCATGTTCTTCATTAATCCTTTTTTAAAATTACGATAGTGGTTAAAGTTCTGATCAAACTAATTTGACTCGATGAGTTTGTCAAAAGAAATCCCAGATTTCTGTTCGAGAATCCGATCAAAATCCACATGATTGTGAACATGTTAAACTTGCCTCTGTTGATTAAATTTTGTGATGAGTTCATGATAGTTTCCCTTTTTCCCAATATGTATATTGTTGCAGAGATTTTCATTTTCAAGGAGATGACTCCTGGAAAATGAATGTCCTGAAAATGGATTCTTCTTTTATGTGATCAAATGGTGATATATTCGAGAAGAAACACGACGAAATAGATTTCTAGTTCTTGGGTAACATCAGAGGTAAAGATTGGAGAATTCAGACCAATGTTTATGGCAATGGAAGCACCAATGTTGGCAGAGAAGAAAGATACAATCTTTGGTTCGATCCAGCTGATGATTTCCATCAGTACACCGTTCTCTGGACAGATTCACACATCATGTAAGCATCGAAAATCTACGCCCAAGTAATTCGTATGCAATGATGAATATGGATATGGGAATGTTACCCTTTAACGTCCTCCGAATATATGTGTTGAGACTCGCATCCCGAGTCCGAATATCATAGGCTCTCACCATCTCTCCTATGATCCCGCTGATGATTTCCATCAGTACACCATTCTCTGGACTGATTCTCACATCATGTAAGCATCGGAAACATTTGACCAAGTCACTCGAATTCAAATATTAGTATATTACCCTTTAAAGACGCTCCAAATACATGTGTCGAGATTTGCATCCCGAGTCCGAATGCCATAGGCTCTCACCATCTCTCTCATGATCCTGCTGATGATTTCCATCGGTACACCATTCTCTGGACTGATTCTCGCATGTAAGCATCGGAAATCTATGCCCAAGTAACTCATGTTCAACGAACATGGACTCACATCCCGAGTCCAAATCCTTTATTTTTCATCTCTGCTCCAACCACGACAATTTTTAACCACTGAAATGTATGATTAGCTGTTTTGAAGAGTTTCTGGTTTTGATGTTGATGCTTCTATTGTGATGTAGGGTTGGGTTTCTTATTTTGGTATGTTTATTATATTACATAATGTGAACTCTGGTTTTAGCTTCTAATGGCATCCCCTGTTTCATCCCTCTCTAGTTTTTTTCTTATAATAGCAAAACTAAATTGTCCGCTTATACGCTACGTGGACTCATGAATGTCGGATACGTACACGTATCCGACATGGATATATTTTTTTTTGCAGATTTTATGTGGACAATATTCCCATTAGGGAGTTCAACAGAACGGCTGCAATGGGTGGAGATTTCCCCTCCAAGCCAATGTCTTTGTATGCTACAATATGGGATGGATCCGATTGGGCTACCAATGGTGGCAAATATAGAGTCAATTACAAATACGCTCCTTACGTAGCCGAATTCTCAGATTTGATCCTTCAAGGCTGTGCGGTTGATCCGATTGAGTTTTCGTCAAAGAGGTGCGACAACATTCAAAGTCCGGAACAACTCATGACCGGTATCACCCCCGTCGCGGAGAAGCAAGATGGGTAGCTTTAGGAGGAAGCACATGATATACTCCTATTGCTATGACCAAACCAGGTACAAAGTCCCTCCTCAGGAGTGTTCGTTCAATCCCCAAGAAGCCGAACGACTCAAGAAGTTCGATCAGGTCACGTTTGGAGGAGGCAGACGCCACAATGGGAAACGACACCACCGCAGCCGGGCAAGCCGGTCCAAGGCTGATTCCATTTGATAAAAATAAGACCTTGCATCATGATTTAGTTGGGGGGATCGGTTTTGTGTATAGAGAGCGACAGCTGATATACAAACATATCTTCCATATGTTTTTAGGTTTCCCAGCCCATTTTTATCATTTATGATACTTCTCTATAGCTTTTACAGATTGGGCTCAATAAAATACTTTTTTTTCAGTTTGAAGTTGCATTTTCCTTTTTTATTGAACAAAATACGTGTTTATTTAACTGATAAATTATAATGAATAATATACAAATTATTCAAAAATAACTTACCAAACTCTAAAATATAAATATTCAATTCAAAAGCGATGTTTAATTTTTTTTATTATAGCCACCATTAAAGAGCATACACATGATTGCGTCATCTCTAAGCCATTTTTGCTCATCTTCACTCTCTCACACACAGGAAAGTTCACTTCTTTTTCGCCCAAAATAGTATTTTGAAAATACCATTAAACCCAAACCCTAAATCTCTAGTTTTTTTTTTTAATTTTAAAAAAGGGTTCTTTGGCACTCACGTCCGTGTGTTGAACCACTGTAGCTCCACACGCACAAAACAAACAAAGACCTATTTTTTCCCCAGATCCGACTAAACTAGACCAACCCCAATTTCCATATTTGATTTCGTCATTGCTTTCTCTCCTTACCCACCCACACCCTTTTCCCATTGCGAATCTTCCATTAGATCGGGTTAAATCCTGCAAACAAGGAAATAAAAGACACCCGTTTGTTTTTTGTTTCACGGAATTGTTTTAAAGTCGAGTTATTTAAGAGTTAACGTGATCCGATTGGATTTTGTGGGATTTATATCAATTAGATCTGAATTACGGGTATTTTAGCTCATACATGTTGTTTTAGTACTCTGGGTTTATTGTTGAATTGGTTTAGGGAGGTTGTTTTTTTTCCTCAATGGCAATGCCATCGGGAAATGTAGTTTTATCTGATAAAATGCAGTTTCCTGCGCCTGCAGCTGCCGGATCTGGCAGTGGCGGCGGTTCTGGTGGAGTCGTAGGTGGTGTTCGTGGAGGAGGAGAGATCCATCAGCATCAGCTCCGGCAATGGCTCCCCGATGAGCGTGACGGCTTTATCTATTGGTTGCGAGGGGAATTCGCCGCTGCCAATGCTATGATTGACTTCCTCTGTCAACATTTGCGTGAGGTTGGCGATGTCGGGGAGTATGAAGCCGTCGTAGCTTGCATTCAACAAAGGAGATGCCATTGGAACCCCGTGCTTCATATGCAGCAATACTTTTCGGTTGCTGAGGTTTCGCAGGAGCTTCGACAGGTTACGTGGAGATGGAGACAAAGGCATTATGATCAAGGGAAGGTTGGGGGAAAGGAATTTAGAAGATCCGGCGGCATCGGGTTTAAGGGGCATAGGGTGGAAGTGGCTAAAGAAGTGCAGAATTCTGGGGTGGATAGTGATGGGAATTCGACTGTCACCGCAGTTTCGGACCGTAACGAGAATCGGAGTGAGGAAGTTAGACCGAGTGGTGGAGTTGCAAAGACGGAGGATAAGAGCACGGCCTCGGTTGTCACAGAGGATAAAAAGGGTAACTACTTGAATCGTGTTTCATTTTCATATGCTTTACTTACATTGTGGTGAAACTGAATGATGTATTGTATTGTTAGCTTGATATGTTTGGTCATCTATTTGTGATGGAGATGACTGGAATTTGTATTTACTTGCTTAAAAAGCATGGTGTATCTGTATATGCTGCATATGCCTTCTTTCTTGGATTTGGCAAATTATCCTGAACTAGAAAGTAATAGTTTGTTTTTTTGGTAAGTTTTCTATTAAAATTAAAGGATTTTAAAGCAAGCTTTTTTAATTGGAAATTACTATCTCATTCCATGCTTGCCACTTGGTCTTGAATATTCATCTACCTACAAACCTAATTAACAGTTGGGGATTGTTAAAAATATATAAAATATATAAGAGGCATGCAGAAGATTTAAACTCATACTTTATTACCAAATCTTGTAGAGGATAAATAACTTGGAGTGTCATGTTGTGAAAAGTATTTGTTTGACATACTTTTATCTTTTAAGGTATCCCAATAGAGACTTTCTAAATTTAATTAGAATTGCATTTTAGCATGGGACATTTTATATCAGTTCAGAAGGCAATCATCCTGGTTTTTCCTTTAACTTTCAAGGATATTTTCTTTTGTTGTTTTGTGAAGGTTCTTTTGATTCATTTTTAAGCTTTCTTTGTGATACCACATTGGCTAATAATTACTTTTTTTCAGAAAAAAAGGTTAATTGATACACTTTATTGTAATTATGTATCCTACTCAGATGTTGGTTCCAAACCTCATGTTGATAATGCAGAACCTGGAACCCAGGATGTAAATGGAGGGTACACATTAAGCTATAAAGGTACCACCTTTTACTTTTGTTATCGGTTTCCTTTTAGCTCTTAGAAGGTCCTGAACTTGGAAGCTTCTCTGTTTATGAGTATCAGTGCTGTACATTTAAGGTTCACTTGATTCTTTCTTGGACCAAGACTTGAACTTTCCCAAATTTATTTGTCTATTTTTAGAAAAAAAATGAAAAAGAAAATCATTTCTTTCTCATAGCTCGGAAGTGTGGGAATTAACTGGGTAAGGTATTTAGCTATTACATGTTTGATTCAATACCTGCACCATATGTTGAACGCTTGAACTCATATTTCAGGTTTTCTGAATAATTCCTTAGCGTTTAACTCTGATTTCACTATGTTTTGTCATATTAATATATATCTTTTTTATTAATGATCTTTTAGGGAAAGATCTACATTCATCCCAAAATCAGAATGGAAAGCAGAATGCTACGGGTCCAAAACTTTTGTTTGCAACGAGATGTTTGACGGAAAAATGGTAATGCTTCACTATCCCACCCCTTCCTCCCCTACTGTTTCAACTTCTTATAAGCCTTTATTTGTATGTTAAGGTCAATGTG